TGCAAAAGGTTATAGCTTCTCCCTCTTTGTTTTGCGGAGTAAACACATCCTTCCATCTGTTCTCTTGCCCTTACACTTCACAAGAAAAAGATGTAATTAAAGGTTTAAAAAAACCCACTTATTTAGGCGTATGTTTTCCCAGAAGAGAATAGACAGCCATTTACCATCATCATTGCCATTCAAAGGCAGATAATTAATTTTAGTAAGCTGCTAGGTATGTGCAAAGATGCTTTCTCGTTTCTCACACCAGCATGAACTCACTCCAATACATCTAGTAAAAGAGGAAAGTGTATAATTGAATTGAACACATTGAAAAATGGCCGGCCAGAAATGTTGACATGGAGGTTTCAAAACAGGGTAGCAAGCTTACCAGGAATACTTCAGATGGTGGAAGTTACTTGGATGTAAGCACAGTTTTTGTTTGTTTGTCTGTTTGTTTGGTGCTTGTAATCTGTGATAATCATCTTTTTTTCTTTTTGGTAGTTTACATGCATTCTTGCAAGGTAAAAAAAGTCTCTTCCACAAATATTCAAGTGTAAGCATCCATTGTAATCAACTTTGATGAAAGGCCTATCTCTATTCAAGGTATTCAGTAAATCTTGTTTATGCATTCTTCACAATATCACTATATAAATGAAATAGGTAAATGGCAAAGGATCCACCCTTTTAGCCAAGCCATTACCGGTTACAATGTAATAAGAATTTAAAGCGCTTTTGATTTCATTTTCATGCAGACATTACCATTGTATACTCAGCCACCCTTTTCTCTACTTGACCAGTTATAGCTTGGATCTTTATCTCAAATTAGCTGCACAAAATTAAAATGATTGTGAATGAATACCTAAATGCAGACAATTTGAATGCAGCTTGTTTGCATGTATGATAGGGTTAAAATATGTTTCAAATCTGCAGTGCCTAAGCTACATGCAAACTAAATAAGGAGCAGTTTAGGATGGAGTGGGCAAACTCTGGAGCACAAAACAGGCTCCCTAGATGTTTCAGCAGCTCTTAACCCACCTTGACACACCATCTGCTTTTAAATAGGTTCCAGAACCCCTTAACTGTTTTACAATTTTAGGCTATTTTTCAAAGCTAGCCTAAAAATTGTTACTATTAAGTAGGCTTGGGCCCGAATCAGTTTGATCAAAAGTGATTTGTAATATTCGGTGGTCCATTTCAGGAGAACTGGATTTATCTGCTACTGGACATAGTTTTCTAAGATCTACAGAGATACTCGCAGGAACACCAAAACCCAGAACCTCAATCCATGGCTGATACCAAATGAGAGACTCCTTCCTGGGTGCACAGAAGACTGGTCAACTTGGAAGGCACAATGGAGGACTTTCTTATAGCAACATCAGAGGCACCTCAAGTGGCCAGCTACTGGTCAAAGGAAATTTAGTATAATCCAAGTTCTTAAACTTCTTAAACTTTGTGTTTTTAAAAAATACATTACAGCTGTACCCTTGATCTGCTTTTGATACAATAAATAAAATCTGCTACTGGCAAAAAAAGGTGTTAAATTTGCATAATATCTGTAGCAGAGGTCTGCCAGGGGCTCCTGGAAAAGATCCTGCAGTGTCTTTTCTTCCTCCCCAGTGGAAAAGTTCCCTAGGCTTCTCCTCCAGAGAGGGCCTTGTTGGGAACTCACTTTCCCAGCAGCACTTGCATGGAGCAGGAATTGAAGTCTCTGAGGTCATCTTGGAGCATGACGAGAGTTTTTTTCTCAGCCAATAAAAAGCCTGGTTGTGTCCATGCTATGATTGGCTGAGAATGGATACAACCAGCCAATTCCCAGAATCCTCTCTTGCAGTATGTCGTATTTTAAAAAATGTTATGGTAAAAACTTACTTATAATTCTAAAAACTCAGTAATTTGGTGAATTGTTCTTAAACTTGGCAGACTTTCAGTTTTAAATGAGGTCTAAAACTGAGGTAGGTTTCATGCAGATAGGCCTTAAAATGGCCAAGGATTGAGCCTTAAAATTTCCCATTGTAGCCAATGAGACGAATCTTTGCCAAATGAAAACAACAAAACTCTTCCCAATTTGAGTAACTTTCTAGTAAACAGAATGAGGGGTTAGCTGAAAATGGACCATGAAATGCCTGCATTTTAGCCAAATTTCACATCTCTACTATTAAAGGAAGGTATTTGACACTCGGTGTAGCTCTGAGAATCCCAGGGAAAGAAAACATTCTCCTGGGCTGCAGTTGTCTGCCCCTACTTTGGGGGCTCAAAAGAACAGGGGCCTCTTAACATAAAATGAGGGCAAAGTTTCAAGTTATATATAGGTATATTTTAGAATAATGCATTTTCTTTTGGGGGGGAATCTAGAGGTTTAGGGCGATGGTACCCAAAGTGGAGCCCTGGGGCTGCGTGTAGCTCTCCAAGATTATTTTTCTAGTCTTTTTCTGCTGCTCTTTTTCCAACCCCCCAAAAGAGAGAGTAAATTGCTTCCCCAGAAGACCTTCTCACTTTTTAAATAGGCTACAGCATTGCTTTCAATGTTTAACATTTAAAAATACCTATGCTATCAAACAGGAAGTGGACTTCTGAACTTTTCTGGGGATATTTTTGGGACAACTGTCTATGTCACCCAAAAGTGTCCCAGAACTGGGAAAAATGGCTCCCCAGACCCATTGCAATAACACACTTCTTGCTTAGAGTTTCATTGTGTCTTAACCCATCCTTCCTAGTCAATGAAATGGTATACCTTCAAATGGCATTGCTGATAAGGAATGCATTCACTGTCTTTCATAAGTATGTTTCTAATCTGTTTAATATTCGGCAGTTGGAAAGAGAAATAATGCTTGGCTCCCAGCCATGTCCCAATTCACCAGCTCAAGGAAGAATGAAGATCAGCTAACTTCTCATCCCTACATAACAGAAAAGCTATTAGTAGTACAAAAATACATGCAACCCATCTATTTCCAGTGTAACATAATACACAGTGAAGTCACGCCACTTTGCAAGAAAATAGAAACAAACCAGAATCTGATACAAATATGAATGATTCATTCAAATTTTCTCACCATTTCTTCATTTCTACGTCCTCAGCTTCTCTGGCCAATGATGGGTTCTTTCCACCTTGGCATACCCTCCAACATTTAGCAGATGAAAAACAAGACATGTGTGGCCAAGCAACGTCTGAGGGTGGTGAAGATGGCAACAAGTCATACATGATGGACTGCAGCTAAGAGATACTGGAGCAGTTTGCATTTACCTGTGCCCACTGAGAAGTGTAAGATTTCACCCCCCCCCCTTTTTTTCTCCTTCCCTCATGCTGGATTAGTTGAGTGCAAACTACTATTATATCAATGGTAGTTAATCTAAAATGAAAAGGGAAACTGAAATAATATGAGGGAAACCTGAAGTATATGCTACTCTTCCTTTCTTTTAGGGTCCTTTTTTCTCAGACTCATACAAACCACACATAGAAAGAAAAATGACACATCCCCACTCTCCGGTATATTATTAGCATTCTAACTAGTGATAGAAAACATTACAGAAACCGTTGTTGCCTTTAATGCAAACTTCTTGAATCTTTGGATTATTATTTAATGGTCCGGAATCTTCTGAACCACAATGCTTTGGTTTTCCATCTGTTTACCAATTTCCTTATGGTTTAAACCCTTGTGCCGGAAGACCAACAGATGGGAGGTTCAAATCAAGGGAGAGTGCGGATGGGCTCCCTCTATCAGCTCCAGCTACCCATGCAGGGACATAAGAGAAGCCTCCCACAAGGATGGTAAGGCATCAAAACACCCGGACGTTCCCTGGAAAATGTTCTTGCAGACAGCGCATTCTCTCACACCAGAAGCAAATTGCAGTTTCTCAAGTCGCTCCTGACATGGAAAAAAAACACCCAATTTCCTCTGTAGAAGTTTTATTGAAGGCAAGGCATCTCTCTCTCTCTCTACACTTCTGTAAAAACATATAGGGGAGCATATGATAACTTATTAAAGGACATTGCTGGATTTTTGCATTTCTCTTTCTGAAGGGTCCTATTTTTTCTTAACCTCTTTTTTCTTGACCTCTGACTCTGCTTGTAGTTGTACAAGAGCTGAAATCCAAGGAATCCCATGCAGAAGCACTATGAGATAGCTGCGAACCCTTAATACAGTTCCTTATGTTGTGGTGAACCCCAACCATAAAATTGTTTTAGTTGAAACTTCGTAACTGCAATTTTACTACTGTTATGAATTGTAATGTAAATATCTGATGTGCAGCATGTGTTTTCATTCACTGGACCAAATTTGGCACAAATACCCGATACACCCAAACTGGAATATTGGTGGGATTGTGTGTGTGTGTGTGTGTGGGGGGGGGGGGTTTATTTTGTAATTTGAGAGTTGTAGTTGCTGGGATTTATAGTTCACCTACAATCAAAGAGCATTGTGAACTCTACCAATGATGGAATTGAACCAAACTGGCACACAGAACTCCCATGACCAACAGAAAATATGAGAAGGGCTTGGTGGGCATTGACCTTGAATTTTGGAGTCGTAGTTCGCCTACATCCAGAGAGCACTGTGGACTCAAACAATGATAGATCTGGACCAAACCTGACACGAAAACTCAATATGCCTAGATGTGAACACTGGTAGAATTTCGGGAAACTAGACCTTGACATTTGGGAGTTGTAGTTACTGGGATTTATAGTTCATTCTGAACCCTACCAATGATAGAATTGGGCCAAACTTCCCACATAGGCTCTTAACTATTTTGGGGCACAGGATTTGGTGACCTGAGTAGCTTCTTTAAAGTTCAGAAGTAAACCTAGAACAGATTCACTGTTTCACTGGCAAAGGAGACATCAGACTCCACTAGTTCCATCAAGCTCTATGGAGCTTGTTCTTGGTAGATATACATAGTGTTATTATATCTATTTGATCCCACAAAGAAGAGGGAACCCTTGCAAACCCTCTGTACTTGGCTGACATATAAATGAGTCATTCTACCAGTATACAATCACTTCTTACTACCCATGAAGCAGTCTATTCCTGTATGATCTTCCATCCATTTTAACTTGCTGCTGTCTGTGGACATGCTTCCAAAACTGGCATTGGCATTTCTTTTTTTTTCTTTTTTCTTTTTTTGGTTATATAGATATTTGTCATACTGTTTCATGTTGAATGTTTTTCCGGCCAATGAAGGAAACTAGCTTTTTGTAAAGACTTAGAAGCCTGTCTTGTCCCAGCTTGAAAGCGATGATCACAATTTCCATGCCGACCACAATATAAAATGAGAGGAACAAGAAAAAGTTGGGATGCCGCAGTTTGACATCACCAAAGCCAATTGTTGTTAAGGTGATAAAGCAAAAATAGAAAGCACCCTCAAAATTCAAGTCATGTTCCCAATGGGGAAGAATAGCAGCAGCACAGGAAATGTATGCGAAGACAATAAAAGTCATCAGTAAAAAGGGTACATCCAGCTTTTCTACTCCTTTCCCCATATTGTCAATGTTGCCAACCATGTGATTCATCATGGGCCTTTTGTCTAGCTCAGGACACGAACTCCACCGTTCAAATTTGTTAGGTTTTGGCGGTGCAAGAAAGTCATTCTCCCTAGCAATAAGTCTTTCAAACATTTCAACGTTTTGATCTTGTCCAGGCTTTGTTTTAAAGGAAGAATTGCTTTGTAGCACTTCTTTAATATTTAAAGGTTCGTGAAGCACTATTTTGTTTTGTCTCAGTGATGATGGTTTTGACTCTCTCCTCTTTTTGCAGTAAGGTCCGCGAGAGAGTCTGCTTAACAATTTTGACTGTAGCTGTCTCATTTTATTGTAAGATCTAGATAGTATAGCTGCAAGGATATCTCCCATATCAGTGAGAACCAAGAACATCAGGGGTATGCCAAATAAGGCATACAGCATACACAAATATTTCCCAAGTCTTGTCACAGGATAGGTATGACCATAACCTGAAAATAAACCAAATAAGAGAAAAAGAAAGTGTTATTTGATCTGTTACTGCTCATTTTTCCATATTTCAATCAGAACAAAGCTGATAAATTATGACTGTAATTTCTTCACTTGTCTTTCTCAAAATATGACAAAACCAATGACTGACTAGTCCATCTTCTAATCCTAGGTCACATTTAGAGGGATATGGCTTTGGAATAAAAGTTTGTAACTTTGATGAAATATGTAATTCCAGATTGCTCCTTTTTTATCGAGTAGAGAAAAACATTGGAGAAAGATACTGTTTGCTCTTGAAATAGAAGCTAGGAAGATCTCTTTTTGTAGATTGCTTTAATTTATCTGATGTTCATCTAGGACTGGGCTGTGGCGCAGCTAGTTAGTAGCCAGCTATATTAAATCACTACTGACTGAGAGGTCATGAGTTGGAAGCCAGCCTGGATTGGAGTGAGCTCCCGACCATTAATTGACCTATGCAGCCTAAAAGACAGTTGCATCTGTCAAGTAGTAAATTTAGGTACCGCTTTATGCGGGGAGGCTAATTTAACTAATTTACAATACCATAAAATCTTCCAGCCGCGCTTGTAAAAATGAGGAAGAACTCCATCAAGGACTTGGTGTCACAAGTGGACGGTGAAGCGACAGCTCCCCCCGTGGCCGGAATCGAGCATAACCTCATGAAGCCAGAAAGCTGGAATGTTAAATTGCCTCTGTGTCTGTGTATATATGTTGTATGTCTAATGGCATTGAATGTTTGTCCTGTATATGTTCATTGTAATCTGCCAGAGTCCCTTGCGGAGTGAGAAGGACAGACTATAAATACTGTAAATAAATAAAATAAAATAAATAACTGTTCCTTAGTCTTTCCTCTTCTTCTCTGCTCAAATTCCTCTTCTATACAATCTATCCTTCAAGTCCTGCAGACACAAGGCTTTAGCTTCCATGATTGGGTCTATTCATCAGGAATGTGGTCTTAGTGGTCTTTTCTTAGTGCCTTCTACCTTAACAAGCATTATTGCTTTTTCCAGTGAGTCATCTCATGATTAGGGCCCCTTCTACACAGCTATATACAATCCTCATTGAACTTGATTATCTGGCAGTGTGAACACAGATAATCCAGTTCAAGGCAGGAATTGTGGATTATTCGCCTTGATATTCTGGGTTATATGGCTGTGTGGAAGGGGCCATGGTCAAAGTACAGCAGTCTCAGTCTAGTCATCTTGGCTTCTTGGGAGAGTTCATGATTTGCTCAGAAACGGGAGATGGTGTTAGTTTACAAATGTGATGGGATCTGTCAAAATTACCTGCATTGTGCAATTTCTTGTTCTTACATTTTGAAATTGCACTTTTGCTGCCTTTTACTAGAGGTAGTAATCTGTAGAAGATGAAGTACTTTGGCCACATCATGAGAAGGAAGGAAAGCTCAGAGAAGACAATGATGCTGGGGAAAATGGAAGGAAAAAGGAAGAGGGGCCGACCAAGGGCAAGATGGATGGATGGTATCCTTGAAATAACTGGATTGACCTTGAAGGAGCTAGGGGTGGTGATGGCTGACAGGGAGCTCTGGCGTGGACTGGTCCATGAAGTCACGAAGAGTCGGAAATGACTGAACGAATGAACAACAACAAGTGATCTGTAGAAAGCCCTGGAACAGTTAATACGATTGTTCTGCCTTAAATTTGATCAAAGAATTACAAGTGCTTATCTCATTTTGTTTCCAAAAGTGATGATTTCAATAGTAATAATTGCAATTGGTATAAATAAAAGTGTACATTTGAAAAAAAAACTTGTATTATACTGGTAGATATAGCAAGTTGTCTTTGTCCTTCCTTGTGATGTTAAGCTTTTCCTTTCCCATTAATGGCATGGTTTGTCCTTCTCAAAATACATCCCTTTGCAAAGTGAAACCATAAAGTGTCCTTCACATTATCTGGGCCCTTCCACATAGCCATATAACCCAGAATATCAAGGCAGAAAATACCACAATATCTGCGTTGAACCGGGTTATCTGACTCCATACTGCCATATAACCCAATTCAGATAATGTGTGGAAGGGGCCTCAGAAAACAGATGATTTCAGGAGAAAAACAAAGAAATAAGAGTTTGTGATGGGTTCTGAGAAATAATATAATTTGTTTTTAAACACAACAAGATGAAACACCACATTAAGAAGATGAAAGATGTCTCCACCCATTTTCAGTGAATAATGGCATGAGGTACTATCTCAGCCAGCTATGTAGACTATTTCCCTCTTGACTTGACTCTCATCCCAAACCTGATGGAAATATCATTAATGCAGAATGGACCTGCTTTTCCCCTTACAGCTGATGTCCAGTAAAGCAGGTTTTGAATGAGATGGGAGTTAAGATTTTGGCAATAATTTCAAAACAATGACTGACTAGTGATGCAAAACACTTTCCATGATCTATATTTGCTCATTAAATATGTAGCTGATATAGGATTCTGGCCTTAAAGTGAACGGTTGTAACTGCTGGAAATCGAATTTTCAGGCTGCAAATTCCTTACAAATGTTGTGACCACATGATGTTGCCCAAACATTCTGCAAAACAATTGCAACTAAAATTTATTGAATTACTAGCTAATACAATATTTTCTCATACAAGCCTCCTTGGGTTTTCAGGCATTGAAAGAAGCCTTTCTCTGTGTCCTACTAGCACTGGAGTCAGTTTTAGCAAGAACTCAAAAGAAGGCCTTCTCACAGCTGCACCAATCCTCTAGAACAGTGATTCTCAACCTTCCTAATGCCACGACCACAATGAGCTGTGCAAGTGCAGCATTTTTCTGAATGAAGCAGATAGTGTTTGAGGACCGGGACATCTGTAGGGATACGAACGTGCTTGTTTATAAAGCTACTGTCATCCCAAACCTGCTATATGCCTGCAAATCTTGGACTGTCTACAGAAGTCACATGCAACTCCTGGAACGATTCCATCAACACTGCCTCCGGAAAATCCTACAAATCTCTTGGGAAGACAGGCAGACAAACATCAGCGTGCTGGAAGAAGCAAAGACCAACAGCATTGAAGCGATGGTCCTCCACCATCAACTCCGCTGGACTGGCCACGTTGTCCGGATGCCCACCACCAACTCCCAAAGCAGTTGCTCTACTCCGAACTCAAGAACGGAAAACGGAATGTTGGTGGACAGGAAAAGAGATTTAAAGGTGGGCTCAAAGCCAACTTTAAAAACTCTGCCATAGACACTGAGAACTGGGAAGCCCTGGCCCTTGAGCGCTCCAGCTGGAGGTCAGCTGTGACCAGCAGTGCTGCAGAATTTGAAGAGGCACAAATGGAGGGTGAGTGAAACGTGCCAAGAGGAAGGCACGTCAAGCCAACCCCGACTGGGACCGCCTTCCACCTGGAAACCAATGGCCTCACTGCGGGAGAAGATGCAGATCAAGAATAGGGCTCCACAGTCACCTACGGATGCACCAGAACACTGATCCTGGAAGACTAACCTACTCGGACAATGAGGGATCACCTAAGTAAGTAAGTAAGTAAGTAAGTAAGTAAGTAAACGCCATGACCCCTTAATACAGTTCCTCATGTTGTGGTGACCCCCAAACATTATTTTTGTTGCTACTTCATAACTGCAGTTTTACTACTGTTATGAATTGTAATGTAAATAACCAATACACAGGATGTATTTTCATTCACTGGCACAAATACCCAATACTGGTGGGGTTGGGGGGGATTGGTTTTGTCATTTGAGAGTTTTAATTGCTGGGATTTACAGTTCACCTACAATCAAAGTGTTCTGAACACCACCACTGATGCAATTGAATCAAACTTGGCACACAGAACTCCCATGACCAATGGAAAAAACCTACAACAACCCAATACTGGAAGGGTTTGGTGGGCATTGACCTTGAGTTTTAGAATTGTAGTTCACCTATATCCAGAGAGCACTGTGGACTCAAACAATGAAGGATCTAGACCAAACTTGGCACAAATACTCAATATGCCAAAAATGAACACTGGTGGAGTTTGGGGAAAATAGATGTTGACATTTGGGAGTTGTAGTTGCTGGGATTCATAATTCACCTACAATCAAGGAACATTCTGAATCCCACCAACAATAGAATTGGGCCAAACTTACCACACAGAACTCCCATGACCAACAGGAAAATGCTGTGTTTTCTGATGGTCTTTGGTGACTCCCTCTGACACCCCCCCCCCCCAGTGGTCCTGACCCCCAGGTTGAGGAACACTGCTCTAGGACATGCTGCAAAGGAAGGCAAGGTTGGCTCTGCTTTTGTTCTTCCGCTGACTAGCAAAGCCATTTTTATTCAGAAAGGCATTTGTTTTGTTTTTTAAAGCAATCTTGTTGCTAAAGTAAGTTTTAATTTGATAGAAGGAGTTCATGTATTTTTTATTGCTGTTCTTTAATGGATGCATTGCTCACCGATGTTTTACTCTAATGTTTTTTCATGTTTTAATTATCATTTTTAATATCTCTATTTTAAAGTGTATTGGCTTAAGCTGTGTTTTAGTGGAAAAGCAATATCTACATCTAGTTAATGGATACGAAAGTCTAAATGAGTTCAATAGACTTCTGTTGCAATCCTATCATTTTTAACTTAATGTAACTCGATGTATACTTAGCTATGGAACAGAGATGCTAAGAAATCTGGCCAGTGAATTGTGAAGATGCACATTGGGATAATGGCAAGAATGTTGTGAATTAGGGCAAGACCTGATTTAAACACAGAATTCCCACTTGCTGTGAGTTTTACAGGTTGTGTGGACATTTTCCAGAAGCATTCTCTCCTGACGTTTCGCCCACATTTTGGCAGGCAACTTCAGAGGTTGTGAGGTCTGTTGGAAATTGGGAAAGTGGGGTTTATATATCTGTGGAATGTCCAGGGTGGGGGAAAGAACTCTTGTTTGTTGGAGGCAAGTGTGAATGTTGCAGTTGGCCACCTTGATTAGCATTGAATGGCCTTTCAGCTTCAAAGCCTGGCTGCTTCCTGCCTTGGGGAATCCTTTGTTGGGAGATGTTAGCTGGCCCTGATGGTTTCCTGTGTGGAATTCCCCTGTTTTCTGAGATTTGTTCTTTATTTACTAACCAGTTGTTCTTTATTTACTAACCAGTTTTTAAATACTGGTAGCCAGATTTGGTTCATTTTCATGGTTTCCTCCCTTCTGTTGAAATGCTTCCCACTGTTATGTCTATACAATGTTTTAGGAATTTTAGCCTTATGTTCCTTTCTGACTGAGAATGTTTTCTGCAACCCCAGATATACAGGTATACAAATCTACTAATAATAAATCAGCATTTTCTAAGCTTGCTAAACAGGCAATACTTTTTATGAAGTACAACTAAAATATTTTCTGCAGAGTACACTGTAAGCAATTCATGCTGTTTCTCACAGATTTGTGTAAATGTTTAAAACAGTCACTAGGTGGCATTCAGAAACCTTTTACTGTTGCTAAATTTTTGTGGCCTCCATTTTCTTTTACAGGAACCCATTTGAGGTCAAGATCCACAGTTTAAGAAACAGTGTTTTAGATAATGGTGGTGGGTATGTTAATTTTGAAGGACTCATGGATCCCCTTCAGGTTTCTTTCTTTCTTTCATATACCAATGAGATCAAGTATCTGAGTAAATCCAACATGAAATTTAAAATATCATACTTACCTACTGTTGTGAAGACAGTACAACAGAAAAAGAGAGAGCCAAGGAAGGACCACTTCTTTTTGGGATTGGAAAACCATATGAAGTCAATATCATTGAGTAATTCATGCATTCTGTTCTTAAATATCTCATTTGAGGTCTCATTCTCTGTTGAAAAGAATGTGAGACAAAGTGATAACTCACTGATAAGGGAGGTAGATCATGCTGAATAGCAGAAAATTATGGACATTCCAGGGGATGAGAAAATTGTGTTGACACTCAATTTTGACTTGGAACGACTCCTTGAAATCCAAAAGTTCTTCTCCCTAATTCTTATATCTGGGTTCTCTGAAGTTATTCAATATAGAGAGAAGTATACAATTAATGTATTTGGAATTATTTTCATAATGTATTTTTTGCATATTCCAGGATTGTCCCTAGCTTTAAAACCAATCCCCTAAATCCTTTATTTTATTTTCAAAAGTAGATGAAACAATGCCCATATTGCAGGCCCGTAGCCAGTATTTTTATTCAGGGGGTGCTGAGTTTGATTCAAAGGGGGGAGGGCTGAGGATCTACCCTAGCAAACCTTTTGTATCGTTATCCCAATAGCCCCATGCATATGGGATATATTGAGCATGGTGATCAGATCATGCTATGAATAAACATAACAGTTTAAATAATGTACCAGTAAGGCCTACTCGCGGACCACCCCTTAAGCCCCCCCCCCCCCCCCCCCCCCCCCCCCCCCCCCGGCTACATGCCTGCCATATTGTAAAGGCAAAAAAACCCAAGAAAAAAACACATACACACACCAAAGGAAGTTCTATAAATTGAAATGACAATGTATCTTAACTCTTCTTCCCCTCCTCCAACATATATAATCCCACATGTCATTTTAAATACAGTGCTATCTTTTATTCTAAAGGCAATCTGTTTTGGAATGTATGTCCTTTAGAAATTACATTACTCGAAGAGGACAAACAAATGCTTTTAGAACTGAAGCATGAGGATAAACACATTGAATAACTCACTTAAAGTTCAGACTAAATTCCAGAGCCAATCCCTACCAATAGCCACTGGTGGCAATTCCAGGTTCTCAAATATACCCAGACATTCAAAATGAAAAGAAGACTGGTATCTGTTCTGAGCAATTAATTTTTCCAACTTCTCTGTTGATGTTATGCACACATACCTGACAAATCCTTTGAGAGATTCCAAAGACTCAGCATAAATCTCCTGTATGCCTCACTTTCGTTGCTCTCTCTGTTGCCTTCCACATGGGAAAACATGAGGGCGCCCAGCAATGCATAGATAACTAAAGCACAGAGGAAGCAGGCATGAGGAAAGACAGTCCAAAATACCTGGCTGCAAGTCCTTTTTTGTGTCTGGGGAGGACACGGTTCAGATTTCATCTTCTCAAAACTTTCTAATTGACAAAGCCAGAAAAAGCTTTCAAGTACAGAGTGGGGGAAGAGTCCGGCACTCCTCTTCTGCCTTCAGAACGAAAGGATGCTGCGTTTCTGCTTCACCGGGGAAAGTGCTCCTGATTTTATAACAGGAATTCCTCTCACAATACCCAAAGGAACCTGGAGAGAGCTTGCAACCAATCATGACTTAAAATGTAGATCTGTCAGATGCTAATATAGCATACAGAATGGCTATTGATTCCCCTAACGCTGTAATGCATAGAGATGACTGCCTGCTACACACAGCCTTGGTAGTCAGTCACCTGATATTTGACAGTTTTTCGACCATAACTATAGCTTTTGGTACCCAGCACTTTGGCAACAACAGAAAGAAGAGTTCCAATAAGAGGAGACAAACTACAGAGTGCAGATAATGAGTGACCCTAATGGATCTCAATGTAATAAGTGAATGATGATGTAGCATCTGATTTTTCCCCCCGCTAAGGGAGATACTATGCCTTTGTCATTGTAGGATTTAATGGCTATTTACCCAGAGCTTCAGAAACAACACTCCCATTCTGTTTGCTGTCTTCCATTCATGTGCTTCTTTGCTAGCTTTTTTTTTGGGTCCTTGGCTACATGCACAAATAAAGAATCCTGTGGAGGGAATGGCCACTTGTGCATTGCTAAAAAAGCAAAAAATGCATCACTAAAAATGAATAAAAGAGACACACATTGCTATGCATGACTGTACTACAGCTCTCTGCTTTGGTGGGCATTGGAGGTTCAGGACCCCATGAAAGTGGGGAAAATGCAAACACAAAATACCATCTTTTTTAGCCTAAGATCTCTCTTGGAATTCCTAAGTCCTCCAGTGTGACTCTATGCTCAATTTCCATCCAAATTGGAGGACCTAGAGAACCCTATAGTAATCATACTAGAGTGGGGCTGTCCCTCTCCAGTGACATCAGATCAGCTCCCTCCCTCCTGACCTTCCGTAAGAAAGTAAAAAACCTGGCTTTGTGACCAAGCGTTTGGAGAACTTGAGAAATAGAAAGATATGGAATTGATGTGCACTGACAACATTTAGTGGATCATGTGATTAACTCTTAATGTATTGTTTTATATGTTTTAAAACCATTTTAATGTATTTTATAACTCTATATATTTGTAATTGTACATATCCTATGGCTTCGTATGGTTGCCTACTTATAAACCATCTTGAGTCCCCTCCAAGGGGTAGAAATGCCATAAATAAATAAATAAATAAATAAATAAATAAATAAATAAATAATATTCAAATCTGTGAATCATTAAATCCACAAAACTTAAACTCACAAATGTGGAAGGCCAACAGTACTTAAAAACAATTTCTACAGCTGAAAAAAAAAGAAAAGAAAAATAATGCACCTCACCATGATGGAGAAAACTGGGAGCCCATGACCCATGTATGTACTAGCTCCTCATGGGGAATTTCAAGGACCCAAACTTCCTATCGTTGGTTCTTTATCTTTAATCCAGGCATGCAATGCACAGTCCTTGAAAGACAGTGTACTTTCATAATAAAAAGATTCTCTGTCCTCTATATTATAGTTCCCAACCAGTGGTCCACAAGATCGAAAATATGGTTCACGGCCTCACCATTACTACGCCATTGCCTTGAAACCACACAGCAAGGAGAGTGACTGGTCTTGTAAACCCTCTTATAGTGCCGAGGCAACAGGGAGAGGCTGACTACCCATGAAAGATTACTGCTAGATTACAGCTCTAGATTATTAAATATAGTTTTCTGTGGGCGAGGAGATAGCAACTACTGGGTGGCATACATTCTGTATCAGAAACTCGAGCTGATGTGGTCTATCCATTGCAATTTTCTGAATCAACACACCAAATAACAAAACCAAATCTAAAGTTCACCAAAACTGATTCATGACCCTTTTAGTGCTAATGTTGGAGAGTGGTCCCTGGTCAAAAAAAGGCTGAGAACCCCTGATCTATATCGTATGCCTTATGTAAAGATTGGGAAGGGGGTACCTAAATCTACCATATAGTAAAAGACTGGAGCAGTCCAGAACCATCAGTATAACAGAGAGGGGTGATTCTCTTTCCCCAATGTAATTTCTCCATGGATCCTCAGACTCTGCCCTGTAGATTTAGGAGATCTTCTGGAGCAGATTCTGAGAAGAGCAATCACTTTGAAGAACAAATAACTGAAAATTCAAGGAAAAAAAGAATAATAATAAAAATACATTATGCAAAAGGTCAAGGATCAAAGCATGCAAACATTCCTGCTTAATTTGTGTGTGTGTGTATGTGTGTGTGTTAGGAGTGACTTGAGAAACTGCAAGTTGCTTCTGGTGTGAGAGAATTGGCTGTCTGCAAGGATGTTGCCCAGGGGACGCCTGGATGTTTTGATGTTTTTACCATCCTTGTGGGAGGCTTCTCTCATGTCCCCAAATGGGGAGCTGGAGCTAACAGAGGGAACTCATCCGCGCTCTCCCTAGATTCGAACCTGTGACCTGTCGGTCTTCAGTCCTGCCGGCATAAGGGTTTTAACCCATTGCGCCACCTGGGGCTCCTCCTGTTTAAATTAAAAATCAAAGAATCAATAGAACTCACCTGAACAAATCTGCCTCCTAGAAGACTTTTGCAATATTTGGTTTCATTAAGCATTGCTTTCTGTAACAAAAGCCTTGTGGTACTTAGAATTTTTATTGTTTAGAATACAATCCCCAGAATCAACCAGAAACTCACCTGTACAAATCCACATCCAGAAATAGAAGTTTACAACTCTGGATTTCATTCCATAGTGCTTCTGATGTGGACGTTGACAAGAGAAAAGCCAGTGAGACCTTTTTGGGGCCTGAAAAAGACACGCTTATTTTACCAGCTGGCAGACTCTGGTGAAATCCGTTCCAAAAAGCCAGAGCCCCGAACAAAAGAAATTTCCCCATTATATACCTTTCCTTGGTTACATGCAGGCAAGTTACACACATTACACAATTCTACATCACAGGAATACCTTTTGCCCTCTCAACATGTTACATACACCAGTTCTTTTTTCTAAAGCACTTTAAGCATGGTTATAGATAAGCATTCCATGTTCAGCCCATCCATCAAAGAGGCCCTACCACTTCTCCTTCCATTAGGTTGTGTCAGCCTGTTCCTGGTTCTTAAAATTTATAGATAACAGGTCATTGAACAGACTACTTGAACATTCCTTTGCCTTCCAGCTACTGCCTCTAAGAATCTAATTTCCTATATTTTATATGTGCTTATGCATACAATATAATCAATGCATACAATATATGTGTGTGCTGCTTATATATATTTCTTACTACATCCATATCACTTCCTCCAGCACCGACTTCGGACACAACCTAGCTCTTGGCTGAAATGGTAATAATCTAAAGAGTAGAGTTTAGTATCCCAAGTCCCACAGTAGCTGGCCATGGCAAGACCACAAACAACAAGACATGATGGCTATAGTCCTTCTTTATTGTCATTTCTCAGAAACTAGTATTCATAAAGCAGTAGCCTCAGAGCTACTATTCTCCACTATGGATAGTCTTCTTCTACTCTTCTTCTTCCAATGTATCTTTAATTAAATGCCATCTAAGTTACCTACTGACATCAAGACATCTTGTAGTATCAGACTCCATAGGTTACCTATGCATTTTAAATAAATACGCCTGATCTGTCTTGAATCAGCCATCGACCAGCTGTATTGAATGACCCTGAATTTATTTCACGCCCATAACAACGTTTTCTCCATTTTAAAATTTTATGCATTATCTGCTTTCACGTGTAAAAAGAGCTCTCAGGGACATTTAGGACATTTAACATTTACAGTCTCACACAACAATACAATAAAATGATTAAGTAAACAAGAGTCATAAATTGAAACCAAAACTTGTATCCAGATTTAGAAGCATGCAACTGGATGGGCAGAAAAAAACTGTTCTATCTCTCTGACCATCTAATCCCTTCTAGATTCTGATGGACAAGGAAGAGTACATTAAAAATGGCCAGGCTTTAGCACAACTGGCTAATCACCAGCAACAATAGATCTTACATATTGAAAGGTTGAAAGTTTGAATCCCGAGTTGGGGTGGGCACCCGATGTTCAGCCCAGCTTACTGTCCACCTGAGCAATTCGAAAACAGCTGTGAGCTGTGAGTAGAGAAATTAGGCACCGCTTAAGCAGGGAGGTATTTTACGGTACCACAAAGGAAATACCAGAAAATGCCAACGATCAAAGGAAGGAGGAAATCTGTGATCAAGGGCTTTTAGTCATAAAGGATGGAGCAATATCACCTCCCTGTGGCCGGAATCAAGCACAATCTCCAGGATGCTGAAGTTGGGAAAATGCCAACATAATACCTCTATCTGTTTTCTGTCCTGCCTGTTTAAAGGCATTGAATGCCGTGTACGTATTATATAATCTGCCCTGAGTCCCCTTTGGGGTGAGAAAGGCAGAATATAAATGCTGTAAATCAGGCATGTAGCCGGGGGGGGGGGGGCCCTCGGGGGGCTTCAGCCCCCCCCCCGAAATTTTCATGGTGGTTCGCGAAAAGGCCTTATTGGTGCATTATTTAAACTGTTATGTTTATTCATATCATGATCTGATCACCATACTCAATATATCCCATATGCATGGGGGTATTGGGGTAATGATACAAAAGGTTTGCTAGGCTAGACCCTCTTTCACTCAGACTCAGCCCCCCCGAAAACCCCCCTGAAAAAAATTCAGCCCCCCCCCCTGAAACGAAATCCTGGCTACGGGCCTGCTGTAAATAAATAAATAAATAAATAACTTGTTGTTTGTCAGGTGGGGGGGTTGGATTACAGCTCTCAGAATCCCACACTCAGCACTCTGTTGACTGGGTATGTCTGAGGGCCCTTCCACACAGCCACATAACCCAGAATATCAAGGCAGATAATCCTCAATATCTAATTTGAACTGGATTTTCTAAGTACACACTGCCAATGAAACTTAGTACACA